CCTGCCACTATACCTTTAAGCTAGGGTCTTCTGAGTCTATTTGGTTCCAGGTCTCACTGCTCATGCTTGCTTCACAGGTTTTATATTTTTCCTAAACTGCCTGACCTACCACCCTACATATATCAAAAGTTTTTCACCTTATGTCCCATTCTTCCAAGTCTAAAAATAATGAAAAGCTAAGCAGCTTATAATTAAGAACTAAATATTCATAATCCAAAAAATGAGTTTAAATGTAAGCTCTCAGACTTTAACTCAACACTAAAAATCCTAAGGCCGATCTGATTTTCTCACTCGCTTTGGGCAGCAAAATCCAAATGCAAAGGAAATTTGACATGAAGCTAAATGTATAAAGCAGATAACAGTGATCTCTTTGGTTGAAATGGAGTAAAGCTGAGATGGAGAAATGAAATATTTACTATATGTCTTGCAGATGTTGAAGAAGATTAAAAGAAATAGGACTTCTCACTTAGACAGATACTTCCTCAGGGTAAACCACATCTCAGTGAGGGGATTAGAAGGACAAAAACATACAAGACTGGCTACATTTTCAGATTGTAAATACATTCCTGATTGATGCTCCCCCATCCACGAGCTCCTGTATCTTCGAGTCATTTTTGATCAGAACCTACCTGTGAGCAGAACGTAGTACCACTCTAGGCTCCTGGCAAAGAATTTATGAACACAAAAGCATTGAAAAACACTTTTTACCCCATATCTTTTTGTAGGCTGCCAGCCAACTACTTGTTCTCTTTTGCCTCAAAAGAGTTGTCCTTCTTTTCGGAACTACTACCCCATCTCTCAAACTCTCTTGACTTCACTGCAGTCAGACTTTTGCTCTCACCACTCCATTGAAAAGGCTCTTGTCAGGGCCTCCGCTGACTCCACATTGCCACGTCCTGTTGTCACCAGTTGCATCTTCCTCTACCTATCAGCAGCATTGGGTGTAATCATTTCCTCCTCTATCATAAACTTGTCTGCAATAAGTTTCCAGGATCCTACATTCACCTGCTGGTTTCCCCCCCATCACACTGGCAACCTTTGTAAATGGTAAGAGCAGTATGCAGAATGGAAGGCGAATGGGTTCTTCATGCAGGCTCAGCTGATGACGTTCAATGCCAGGCTGACTTTCTTTTCAGAGGTAGACTTGATCCTGGGCTTCAAACTTTAAGCAACAGCACCAAGACAGACTGAATGAGGACACTATAAGTCAGTGATTGGAAGGTAATTGCTGAATAATACTCTGAAAGTTAACAACCAGAGTAATGAGAATATTTGCCAATATAAATGCTGTTCACAACAGATAGGCAGAGAAATCTGAGTCCAGGAAGTAGATACAGAAAATCTAAAGGTCATTTCAGGCTATGGATATTATTTCAGCAGTTCGTTATCAGAGACAAGAGTACTAAAAGAGCTATCATACCTATGGCAGCATACTCTTCACAATCCTTGGAATTCTGAAGTCTAGCTGATTCGTAACTGTCTCTATTATCTGGACGTGTAAACTAGTGTCTTGGCAATATACCTTCATATGCTGCTGTTGTCACATTAATATTAACTAATTGTTACACATGAAAATAAATGGAAGTCAACTTTGGTGGTGAAGCATCTTTAGTTTGCAAGAGAATGTATCAGATGATGCACAGTACAAGACATGCTACTTGAATGTAGGGAATTATTTTTCTTCACTGCTCCCTAAGGTGCTGCAATATATACAACCCATAGTAATCACTCAGTTAATATTAGTTCATTCAATGAATGAATATTCCATTGATTGTCTGCTATTGATTTAAAGTCCAACAGAAACCTCCCAGCCTTATGGATGATTCCAGTGGTGATGGGGTCAAAATGTTAAAGCTGGATTTCTCCTCAGGGAATCTCCCTTTGTCATCCTAAGGGCTAAGTCAAAAGGCTGTTTGAAGATGATTGTTATAAGACAGTGAAATTGATGGTTGGAAAAAATCTCTGCAGACACTTGTAAATTGCTTTCTAGAACTGTTCTCCAAAAAACCCAAAGTTAACATGGAATGTCATCTCATCTGATCCAATTCACCTTGAAGGCAGACATTTATTTTTTAATTAGATAAAAAGATAATGACAAATTTGATCTTTTTCTTGAACCTGGCGCTGTTGTGCTGACCACATGTCAAGTGCCTACATAATTGTCCCTGTACTAGAAACGGGTTGGGTGTGGTGTGGAGGAGGTGGGCCGGGAGCCCACCCTTCACCATTATGGACTGGTTTTCACCTTTTCCAAGCTACCTGGCTTTGAGCAATAGCTGTCAATCCCCTGAGACTCCATTCCATGATGTGTAACTACCACTCCTCCTCACAAAGTTGTGATTAGAATGCTGCCTGTGTTCTGGGCTATTTGCAAGTAGATATGTTTGTGAAGCATTTTGTGAGTTGGACAGCTTTGCACAAAAAAAAAAAAAATGAAAATTCTGATTATGGGGTAAGGAGGAATGAGATACTATACAAAAGTTGTCCTAACTTTGGGCCTCCCCTGGTGGCACAGTGGTTGAGCGCTGGGCTGCAAGCCTGCCGGCAGCCTCTGCAGCACCGGTTTGTTCCCCAGCTGCCGGCGAGGGTCCCACAAAAAAACAAAAGTCCTAACTTTACTAAAATAATAATGAAACTATGAACTTTCAAAGAAAAAAATGAGAGTAAAGGAATTATTTCCAGTATCTTAAAACCATGAGCAACCACACCTCCCTCGGAGGAGCACACAAAAGAAATCAATTTCTGCAGAATCAGCCAAAACAGGGAATATCAATAATCAAAACAATGCCAGCAATGCCATGTTTTAAATTTGATCCAGATTTGATCTAACATACACAAAAGCTGGCTTTACTGGAGTAAAATATATAGGGTTTTAAAGAGGAAATCTAGATGTAAAGAGCTTTTTAATCTTGAGCTTTCAGCTACATTTCCCAAGGAATCATCAGAGCCATAAGGTGGGGAATGCAATAATTCTTCTGAGGCATTGCAGCTTCTGAAATGCAGACAGATGGAATTTCTGTACTCTCCAGTATAATATAGAAACACTCTCACACTAGGATAAACACTTATTCTTTGAAAATTTCCTCTTAACGCAAGAGGCTATTGTATAGACTGGCCAGTAAAACCTTAGTGTTTTGGCTTTTCATTTTATATCTGGTTTCCTGTGTACCTTTTAGAAGTCTGTATTTGTAGCGACAGGAATGCATTTCTTTGCTGAATCCTCTAAGATGATAAAAAATATAAAGATGCTGAATATTTTGCCAGTAGAAATCCATAGATGTCGATTGTATTGATACTGAAATTGTGGGATGTAAGGGGAAAACAGACTTTTGTAGTTGATCTTGTGAAGAATATGATTCAAATAGGATCAAAAGAAACTGACCAAATCAGCTCACACTTTATGTTCAGCAAATGGAAACACTCGTTTCTTTGATAGTGTTGGAAAATAATCCACTAATTACATTTTTTTCCCCCTTGCTTTGTGGCAACATGTTGTGTTCCATTCAAGATTGAGGTGACTTTTCCCTGTTAGATATTTAGAACCTCCTGAGCCTTGGAACCTGGAGACTATGAGCGAAATGGGCTTCACACTAGGAGTGTTCAGTCTGCACTTCTCTATTTCCAATGCTTAGGCAAAGTGTTCTGTAGTTCCTGTTTTTCTTTAGTCAAAAATTTCCTGTTTTTCTTTAGTCCTGTTTTTCTTTAATCCTGTTTTTCTTTAGTCCTGTTTTTCTTGATAGTCATCTTATCAAGGAGTACATGTTTCAGGGAGTGGTGACAGTGAGCAGGCAGCTGCCCACACAGCTGACGAAGGGCTGCACTAGCTTTAGTGGAGGGAGGAAGGTGGGAGAGAGAGACACCAGGAGGAAGACTGAGAAAAGTTTTCAAAGGTTGTGTTTTTCTATTGTTACTCGGAACTCACAATAAGTCGATTTTTTTCCGAATTAAAAAAGTAGGATATGGTCATTGGAAAAGCATTTGTAAAAAGTGAAGTAAAGTACAATGAAGAAATAAAAATTACTTTTGAGCCTAAAAGCAGAGTTATGGTACTTTTGATATCCTTTCCAAGTCAAATTATGTTATACTTTTTGAGAACCAAATGGTGTTTTTCCACTTAAACTATCTTGAACTTTGTCCCAGGACATTAGGTATTTTTTACAGCACACTTTTCAGTGGTTTTCACAGTATACCTTATTTGGAGGTACAAAACTATTGCAAAAAAAATTTTATAGTTTCCTCATTTAAGTCACAATGGTAAAACAGTCTTTAAAATAAAAACTTGCATGCATTCATAAAAATTTCCTTTGTATGAAGTCCAAGATTAAAAAAAATTCTGGGTCAAAGTTTATGGATATTTAAAAGATGTTTGATGCACTTACCAAATATTTAAGTATATTTTAATATTTTGAACTGATTTATCCTCATTGAATGCTTTTTTAAAGAAATCTTTCTAGCTTATTATCTTACCTTGGTATTCACTTGTTATTTCATTTTCATTATACCATAATTGCTGACATTTTTTTAGCTGGCATTTTATTAAGGTAAGTAAAGACATTTCAAATATAGGACATGGGTTCTCTTTGCCTGTGGTCAAATGCACATCAACTGACTCTTTTTACATAATTTTCTCTGCCAACTTGAGTAGTAATTTAGGAGAGAATTTTTACAAATGTTTTTTCAGTTAATATCACTTCACATTGAAATAATTTGCAGTTATTAAAAATATATTCCCTTTGGGTATTTTGTCTACATAAATTATACAACCCTTGAGCCTTCTGTTTTGATTTTCTCAGGCAAACAGGCTCTGTGTCATCCCCAGGTAATCTCACAATGTTCTAGAAGACCCAAGAAACAATGGACAATAAAACTGAGGGAATTTAGAAGTAACTTAGTTGAAAAACAAGGGACGGTTTTATCTTTGTTGTTTACTTATCTCTCCTAATTTTAAAAAAAGAAATAAAGTTCCATTTCAACATTGTTTTTCTGCCCGTTTTTTCCAGTGCTGTGTGGAGGGGGTGATAGCTTCCTGTGTACCAGTGGGATCTGTGTCCCCAGGAAACTGCAGTGTAACGGCTACAATGACTGCAATGACTGGAGTGATGAGTCTCACTGCAGTAAGTGCCGGGCTGCTGGGCTTGGTCTCTGGGCACAGAAATTCTATTTAGGGACCTGGAAACCAAAGGCATTCCATTGTTGCATCCTGACAACCACCCATCACTTGTGTAAACGAGTTTCCTTGGCCTTTCTAAAGTGAGCAAATGTGTTTATCTTCTCCCAGTGTGACAGCAGTGTGTTTGCACACCTTTCAAAGGCCTGATTTCATCAGGGACACCAGAGCTCCCTGCCATATCAGAACAGGTCAGGGACTGAAGTGGTTGTGCATAAAGTGTCTTAAAATTGGGAGAAAGCTTTTTGTTTATTTTATTTGGGTGAGGATTTTTTATTTTTGTTTTTAAAGCTTTGAGTGTAAATGTCAACTTATTTTTAAAATGACATTTTTTAATTGGAAAGTTTTTTACCTCCATGATTCTTAATATTTATGACAGAGCAGGTACAAAGCTGCTTGTTTGTTTATACTGCTTGTTTGTTTAAACCAGGAGGGAGTTGATGGCCTTAACTGTTTTAAATCCATGCATAGGTAAGCTCAGCCTTAAACAGCCTCAATTTGCTTACTATTAACTTGATTAGTTTTTTTGTTTGTTTTTTTTTAACTGAATTGGTTGGTTGGTTGTCCAATATTGCATTAGTCTGCTTGGGTTGTCTTACAGCTGCCACAGACTGCATGGCTTAAACAGCGGACATTTATTTTCTCACATTTGTGCAGGCTGGGGAGTCCCAAGATCAAGGTTGAACAGGGTTCAGTATTTGGTGAAAGTTTTCTTCCTGGCTTATAGGCAGCTACCACTTCCTGGTATGCTCACATGATCTCTTTGGAGAAGAGATGGTAAAAATGAGAAAGGGAGAAAAGTGGGAGGGAGCTCTGGGAGCTCATCCTTTTATCTGGGTCCTGGCCCTATTGAATTAGGACTCCACCCACATGACCTCATTTAACCTTTATAACATTTTCATATCCCTTATCTCCAAATACCTTGGAGATTAACGCTTCCAAATTAGGCCTCAAAATTTGGGAGGACACATACATTCAGTCCATCACAAATATATATTCAGCTTTCAACTTTGTTTGCAGTTATGCAACAGATCAAAAGGAAAAATTAGCCTCTAAAATACATTGCTGGACCTGCATCCAAAACAACCATATACAATTATGTTTTCATGGTTTTTGAATGGCTCCGTGGTCAGCAATAGTTACTGTGGCGGGGTGGGGGTGGGGGGGTGTTGGGCGGCAGGGAAGCTGTGTTTACTGCCTGTAGGGGTTGCCCAGACTCAATTGAGAGCTTCGGCTCTCTTCTGTTTACCAGGTCAGCCCACTGAAGGTTAGGATGCTGGTCTGTCATAATGTTTCAAAGGCAGTTTATTATGGCAATATTTCAAGTCAGTGTTTTCCAAACTGGTATTCTAGTAGCTGAGACTTGAAAGAAAAAAACAAGTTTTGAGAAATTCTATCAGATCTACCTATTAGAGTTAAAATATATGCTTGTGTATTAAAGGTTCTGAGAAATCCTGCACTCTAAAAAAAGACATCAATTTTGCATAATTTGGTATTTCCTCAAAATTATTTGCTCAGATATACCTTCACCTTTATGTATTTGTATATTTATGCTATGCATTTATTTAGTTTACATAATATCTGACATTCTTTTTTTAATATCTGACATTCTTTTTTTTTTTCTTCTTCCCCTTCTCTTTATTTTTTTTTTTAATATTAAATTTTATTTTTATATTCCCCCATACAATTGCAAACGCCCCATTCTGACCCCAATCCCTCCCCTCCCGCCCCCCACCCCCAAAAAGTGTCTCTGGTTCATAGTTTTTTGTTGATTTTGATTTTCACTTTCTTGTAGTTATTCATTTTCCTGGTCCCTTATTTAAGTTTTCTAGATTCCTGCTATGAGTGAGACCATCCGGTATTTTTCTTTTTCTTTTTGGCTTATTTCGCTGAGCATGATCCCTTCCAGCGCCATCCATGTTGCTGCAAATTGCATGTGTTTATCTTTTTTGAATGCTGAGTAATATTCCATGGTATATATGTACCACATCTTCTTGATCCAGTCATCTATTTTTGGGCATTTGGGTTGTTTCCAAAGCTTAGCTATTGTAAACAGTGCTGCTATAAACATAGGGGTGCAGGTGCTCTTTGGAATTGATGTTTCTGTGTCCTTTGGGTAAATACCTAGGAGTGGAATTGCTGGATCATATGGAAGCTCTATGTTTAGTAGGTCCAGAAATCTCCACACAGCTCTCCATAGTGGTTGGACCAGTTTGCACTCCCACCAACAGTGCAGAAGAGTTCCTTTTTCTCCACACCCTCGCCAACATTTGTTGTTGCTAGTTTTTTTAATATGTGCCATTCTCACTGGTGTGAGATGGTATCTCATGGTAGTTTTGATTTGCATTTCCCTGATTACAAGTGATGTTGAACATTTTTTCATATGTCTGTTGGCCATTTGCATTTCCTCTTCAGAGAAGTTTCTTTTTAGCTCTTCTGCCCATTTTTTGACTGGATTATTTTCTTTGTTGTTGCTGAGTCTCATCAGCTCTTTGCAGATTTTTGTGATCAGTCCTTTATCATTAGTGTTGTGTGCAAAAATGTTCTCCCAGTTGGTGGGGTTTCTCTTTGTTTTTGTTATTGTCTCTTTTGCTGTGCAGAAGCTCTTTAATTTGATGTAGTCCCAGCTGTTTATCTTTCTCTTCACTATCACTGCTTTGGGTGATGTGTCTGTAAAGATGTCTTTGATGTGCAAATCCCGTAGTGTTTCGCCTATATTTCCTTCTATGTATTTTATGGTTTCAGGTCTTATGTCTAGTTCTTTAATCCATTTTGAGTTGATTTTTGTGTATGGTGTGAGGTAGTGGTCAAGCTTCATTCTTTTGCATGTAGCGACCCAGTTTTCCCAGCACCATTTATTGAACAAACTTTCTTTGCTCCAATGCATAGTCTTTGCTCCTTTGTCAAAGATTAGTTGACCATAAATCTGTGGGTTTATTTCTGGATTTTCTATTCGATTCCATTGGTCTGTATGTCTGTTCTTGTTCCAATACCATGCAGTTTTGATGATTATGGCTTTGTAGTATAGTTTGAAGTCTGGGAGTGTGATGCCTCCATTTCCTTCTTTTTTTTTCAGTAGAGCTTTGGCTATTCGGGGTTTTTGGTGATTCCATATGAATTTCATCAATAATTGTTCTATTTCTTTGAAGAATGCCATTGAGATTTTGATTGGAATAGCATTGAATCTGTATATTGCTTTTGGTAGGATGGCCATTTTAATAATGTTTATTCTTCCAATCCATGAGCAGGGGATGTCTTTCCATTTCTTTGTGTCTTCTTCTATTTCTTTTAACAGTGTTTTATAGTTTTCTTTGTATAGGTCCTTTACCTCTTTTGTTAGATTTATTCCCAAATATTTGATTTTTTTTGTTTCGATAATAAAAGGGGTGGTTTTTTTGATTTCTTCTTCTTCAGATTTATTGTTTGTGTATAGGAAGGCTACTGACTTTTGCGTGTTGATTTTGTATCCTGCCACTTTACTGAATTGATTGATGAGTTGAATTAGTTTTTCTGTGGAGATTTTGGGGTTCTCTATGTATATTATCATATCATCTGCAAATAGTGATAGTTTGACTTCTTCTTTTCCTATTTGGATTCCTTGGATGTCTTTCTCTTGTCTTATTGCTCTGGCTAGGACTTCCAGTATTATATTGAAAAGCAGTGGTGAGAGTGGACATCCTTGTCTTGTTCCAGATCTTAATGGAATTGCTTTCAGCTTTTCACCATTGAGAATGATACTGGCTGTTGGCTTGTCATAGATGGCCTTTATGATGTTGAGGTATGTTCCTGGTATCCCAAGAATTTCAAGGGCTTTTATCATGAATGGGTGTTGCACTTTGTCGAAAGCTTTCTCAGCATCTATTGATATTATCATATGGTTTTTATATTTCTTTTTGTTGATGTGTTGGATAACGTTGATTGATTTTCGGATGTTAAACCATCCTTGTGCCCCTGGAATGAATCCAACTTGGTCGTGGTGAATTATCTTATGGATACATTGTTGGATTCTGATAGCTAAAATTTTATTGAGGATTTTTGCATCAGTGTTCATTAGGGAGATTGGCCTATAGTTTTCCTTTTTTGTGTTGTCCTTATTTGGTTTTGGTATTAGTGTAATATTGGCTTCATAGAACGTGTTTGGTATTGTCCCTTCCTTCTCAATTTTTTGGAAGAGTTTGTGAAGGATAGGCACTAATTCGTCTCTGAATGTTTGGTAGAATTCATTTGTAAATCCATCAGGCCCTGGGCTTTTGTTTTTCGGGAGGTTTTTGATTACCATTTCAATTTCGCTGCTTGTAATTGGTCTGTTTAGGTGTTCTATTTCTTCTTTATCTAGCTTTGGGTGATTGTAGAGTTGTAGGAATTTGTCCATCTCCTCTAGATTGTTGAACTTGTTTCCATATAACTGTTCATAGTAGTTACTGATTATTCTTTTGATTTCTGCTGTGTCCGTTGTGATTTCTCCTCTTTCATTTATGATCCTGTGTATTTGTGCTTTCTCCCTTTTTTCCTTTGTGAGCCTGGCTAGGGGTTTGTCTATTTTATTTATTTTTTCAAAGAACCAGCTCTTGGTTTCATTGATCTTTTGGATTGTTTTTTTAGTTTCAATTTCATTTATTTCTGCTTTGGTTTTTATTATTTCTTTTCTTCTACTGGATTTGGGGTTTTTTTGTTGTTCTTTTTCTAGATCTTTGAGCTTCGAGATTAGGTTGTTTCTTTGAGTTCTTTCTTGTTTTTTGATGTGAGCTTCTATTGCTATATATTTTCCTCTTATTACTGCTTTTGCTGCATCCCATACATTTAGGATATTGGTGTCCTCCTTGTCATTCAATTCAAAGAATTTTTTAATTTCTTCTTTGATCTCCTCGTTAGTCCAGTGGTCTTCCAGTAGTGTGGCTTTTAATCTCCATGAGGTAGGATAGTTCCTTGCCTTCTTTTTATGATTTA